TTTTATCTCTAGCTTTCCTACTGTGGAACACTAGCTTTCCAGATTCCCTCTGTTATAAGTTAGGGAATAGCAAGAGAGTCCCAGTCGTATTCCCCGTGTCAGTCTCCCACAGATAACGTCCGCTCTGTGGGAGAAAAACCCAAGGACGACAGAGCAGACAGGCCCAGGCAGCTCTGCTCTGCCACGTGGGCGACCGGGAGTCGGAAGGGACCCAGGACACACGACTGCAGTGGTGGCGGCAGCGGCAGTCTCTGGACGATGGTTATTGCTCTCAGGTCAGTGGATATTGCCCCTCAACCCTTGGTTTATCTTTTATCCGGCATCACATCGACGTGGCACAGGGTGCTCCTCTTATACATGCAGTCAGATGATTTTGGACCACCGGGTCCTGGTGGTGTAGTGGGTCATGCACTGGGCTGCTGAGCATGAGGTCAGCAGTCCGAACCCATCGGCAGCCCCATGGGAGAACCAGGAGACTTCCTGCTCCTATAAGAGTGAAGTCTTGGAAACCCACAGGAGCAGTTAAACGCTGTCCTGTAGGATTGCTGTGAGTTGGAATAGACTCAATTCATTCATTTGTTTATTTTATTCATCAGTGTTGGCTTGATGGCAGCTTTTTAAATTATTGCCAAAAAATAGTTCTTATCTGTCACAGGCCAGTTCAGCCATTGTCTTTCATGTACCGTTTGGACACAGGTCATGTTACCCGGCGTGGGACCCCCACAGTGCCTGCTACCAGTGACGGGCATGGCTCTGGGTGACCGCAACCAGTGTCTGTTGTGCCAGCAGCAGACGCACATTTTCCAAACAAGGGCTCTCCTCGCACCCTCACCCCGCCCTCTTTCCACCCTGGAAACCACTCTCCAATGTTGGTCCCTGTACCCCTGCTGTCCTACGTATTTCAGAGACACGGGGTCATCCTGTATTTGTCTTTGGGGGACTGGCATGCTTCAGCCAGCAAGAGTCTTCCAGGACCATCCCCGTTGGAGCCTGAACCAGGACTTCATTTCTCTTTAGGGCCGACTGTCTTCTCAGAAGCTGGTTTCCACACATCTGAGATGCCGCAGGGGGGTCTTCCCCACAGCCGAGGGCTCCTTCCCAACCCACCACCACCATCTGCTTTGAGGTCTCTCATCACCGATGGCTTTTCCTGTTGTTGAACTTGACATCATGCAAACCATCCAGGAGGCGCCCTGGTGTTGGGCTCCTTGCACACGACCTTGGGCAATCCCTGAGATCCAACCATCCTGTTGAAGGTACCAGATGGCCGCAGTTGAAGCTGCCGTTGAGTTGGCCACCAGCACACAGTGACCCCATGCACCAGGGAACATCACGCTGTCCTGCCGTGCCCCCTTGTCCCCGTGACAAGCTGGAGACCCCGGGCACCCGAGGTCTCCTGTGGCGGTAGTTGTCAGACACCATCGAATCTCTTCTGATTCATAGCAGCTCTATAGAGCAGAATAGAACCCCATCTCGGGCTGCACCCTCCTCCTCCCAGGGATCGCTATGTTGGAGCCCATTGGGCAGTCCCTGTGTCCGTCCATTGCATGGGGCCTTCCTCCTCTTCACTGACCCTCTGTTTGACCAAACATAGTATCCTTCTCCTGGGACTGGTCTTTCCAGACAACATGCCCAAAGTCCTGGAGGCACCGTCTGGCCATCCCCAGTCTGCTGTGCTTCTTCCAAGACAGGTTGGTTGGTCCTTTTGACGTCCATGGTGCCTCCAGTCGTCTTCTCCGCACCGTCACTCGCTCCATCGTTCAAAGGCATCCACTCGTCTTCAGCGCCCTGATCAATACCCAACCTCCACATGCGTGCGGGCCGTGGGAAACACCATGGCCTGGGCAAGGTGCTCGTTAGTCCTCAGTGTGGCCTTCTTGCTCGTTTACACTTTAAAGAGGTCTGAAATGGCTCATTTTTAAAAAGAAGTCTAGCACAGTGGATTTGCCCAGTGCGATACATTTTATCGACTGCTGCTTCCACGAGCGTGGGTTGTGGAGCCAAGAAAAAAGGAAACCCTTGGTGGCCAGTCTTTCCTCCGCTTACCAGGGTGTTATTCTACTGGTCCAGTTGTAAGGATTCAGGCTTTCTTTACACTGAAGCCTGGAATCTTTGATATTCATCAGGATCTTCCTGGCTTGAGTAAGCAAGGTGGTGCCATCTGCACATGGCAGCTCGTTAATAAGCCTTCCTCCAATCCTGGTGCCATGTTCTTCATATACTGCAGTTTCTCGCGTTATGTGGTAGTTATACAATTTCATGTCAAATTGATAAAAGAATGAAGGGGTGGAGTCTAGCCTGTCAATCAGGCCACAGCCTGATGATCCCTCCTTGTGGGTGTGGCCTTCTCATGAGGGTTTTGGGAATTGCTCTCTCTCTCTCTCCTGCACCTTCCTGTTGACAAGCCACGTGGAGCCATACTGATGGCAATCAAAGCCCTGGAGATGTGTCCACTGACATTCGATCCACAAGAATTTCCACCCACTGGCCTGTGATCGTTCTGCATTCAGCATCATTGCATGGACTGTGTGAGTCTGAAGAAGAATTCATGGGCTAACATCAGACATATGGGCTAATATCTAACATATGGACTTGATCTGGCCTGGGTTGGGATGTTTTATTGATGCATAATTACTTCTTGATCTAAAGCTCTCTCTTACACATATATGAGTCTCAATGAATGTTTCTCTAGTCAACCTGGTCTCACACGGATTATTTGCTCAGCACACAGGTTGAGTAAGAACGGTGAAGGGTGTGATCCTGATGTACACCTTTCCTCATTTTAAACCACTGGTCACTTGTTTGTTCTAGAAACATAGCGGCCCTCGGTCCATGCATCATTCAGTACGAGTACGTAAGTGTTCTGGAATCCCCGTTCTTCTCAATGTTACTCATCATTTGTTATGATCCACACCGTCAAATGCCTTTGCACAGTAATGAC